AGCCTCTTGAGAGAATGGGCCTTCTCACGGCTCCTCAGAAGCTCCTAACCTCAGCATCCTTTGCCATCATCACCACACAGACTTCAGGAGAGGGGCTGCTAGCCCTGGCCACTTGGGCAAAAGCTAATGTGCAACCCTTCCTTTAAATCATACCGCCCCCTAAGAGCCACTTTGGGTTCTCCATTTTTACCACCACAGCACATTTGAGACAGAGTTGACACATTTAGAAAGCCTTTACTAAAGGCTAAGGGATTAATAAAAAAGAAATAACCCACAAAGATATAATGAATCAGAATTAGGATATAGTTTAGTACTTTTCAGCCCACAGAGCACAGTGGGAAGCAGGCCTTCCCATCTCTCATGTCTTCCCAGATGGTAGGTACTATTAAGGCCCACTGCCCAGCCACCCCTCCTAGAAGGCTCCTCAAAGTCAGGCCATGAGAGAGAACAAACAAGCAGTCAGGTGTTCTCTCCCACAGTTCCAGTTTGCGATCTCAAGGCCTGCTTTTTATCCAGCTGACTGACGAGAGACACCATGTTGCTTTTTGCCCTGTAATTCTCAACAATGCAAATACAACTGTGCCAACAAACAGCAAATATATCACACAGACATACACCAGGTGCATAAACACATCTATAGAAAGGACACATTCACAAAGATAGGAAACTTTCTGAAAGGAGCTGATGGGTGACGTATGAAAAGAAAAGAAAAAAGTAGTTGAAGGGACATGAGTTCAATTCGGGAAATGTTAGATTGGAGGTGCCAAAAAAAGCATCAAGGCAGAGATACACACCAAGCAGAGAAATGTTAATCTGGAATTTATAGGGCAGGTTGACCTGGAGATGTAAAAAATTAAAAAGTTGAAGTTCTTGGAATATGTAAGAAGACAGTGCAGAAAGGAGGAACGTGGGAGGATGACAGAACCCTTGGAAATGCCTCTAGCACACTGCGTGGGGTGGCACAAGTGGAAAGGGAAGTGCTGGTATGACAGAGCCCAAAAGAGAATGCAGTGTGACAAAAGGCAGTGAAGAAAATGCATTTGAGAAAGAGGAAGTGGGCCACAGTCCAAAATGCTTTAGAGGATGAGGGAGGTAATGACTAAGAAAACCCCTGGATTTGAAATAGAAGGACATAGCTGCCTTGTGAGAGGCAGGATTTAGTACAGGGGTGAGGGAAGGTCAGAACAGGGCGCTAAGGAGTAATTGGCACACGGAGGCAGGGCACGTGGCATTCATTCATGAGGACTGACAGTGGAGGGCAGGAGACAGAACTAAGATGACACTGTTAGCACAGGGACCTTACCCATTGGACTCACCGCTGTGTCTCCAGCACCAAGACCAGTTCCTGGCACATAATAGGTACTCAATAAACATTTGTCTATTGCATGTTGTTTATTCAATGAATGTTGTTGTTCGCTTAAATAAAGGAATTGGTGAATGAATACAGTGCTGATATTTGAGGGATGTGAGAGAATAACCTTGTTATGGCATGTGTATGATTCAGGCAGGAATGTTGGCGTTATATTGTTTTCAGGTCTGGTTATAAGATGTAGCCTATCAGCACAGTTCACATCACTGGACTTAGTGTGGGTAGAGAAGGAAGGTCTTACCTAGAGGTTGAAGTTAATTAGTGTTTCTGACAGTAATCTGAGGAAAATGAGGGTCTCTCAGGCTAGACATTAGAACTTGGCCTGTGTGGGGGGGAGGGACTCCTGAGTGTCTGCAGAGTTTTGCCTTGACCATGAAGGCATCAAGAGATACTGAGAGGAACTCCTGTGGGTTGTTAAGAAGGGGCTCAGGGAACAAGGAATTAAGAAATCTAAGCCAGCACCTGCAAGGCTGTGAAACCCTTTGGATCACCTATCTGAGGCTGTTACTGGTTCTTGTACTGTGTAGTAAATCCCTTTGTCCTATATTTAAAGTCTTTGGAGAGTTCCAGTCTGGTTATGGAATATAAAAGGGTTCAGCCAGCCCTGGAGGTCGGGAAGATGGGCAGCACTGTGGTGACAGTAGGAGCAGTAATACGAGCGGATTAGTGATGTGGAGAATCAGCCAAGACACCCTGAAGGTTCAAGGGTGTGTTTTATTAGTGACCTGGTATTCCCTTACATGGAAACTAGGAAATCATCTTCTTTGGATGTCGTTTCCCTTTTTTTTTTTTTGTCTGATTCTGACAAGGGAGAACTGAGCAGGTATGCGGTCTATAGACAGAAAACCGGCAGGGAGCAACAGAAAGAATGTACAGTAATAAGACTTAATGTAAAGAAACAGAGCCCTGGAAGAAAGGCAAGGTCATGAAATCCAAAGGCTACCTGAAGAAGTTTGTTATTACAAAGTGGTATAAACAAAAGATTGAGAGAGTACAAAGATAGAAAGTCTATGTTCATTGCAGTATTATTTACAATAGACAATATATGAAAGCAACCTAGGTGTCCATCAATAGACGAATGAATAAAGATGTGATACACACACACACACACACACACACACACACACACACACACTGGAATATTATGCAGCAATAAAAAAGAATGAAATCTTGCCATCTGTGACAACATGGATGGACTTAGAGGGTATTACGCTAAGTGAAATAAGTCAGACAGAGAAAGACAAACACTGTACAGTTTTACTTATGTGTAAAATCTAACAAAACAAAAACAGATTAATAGAAACAGAGACCAAAGTGATCATTGCCAGAAGAAAGGGGAATAGGAGGATGGGTAAAAAGGGGGAAGGGGCACATAGTCAATAATATTGTGATAAGTTTGCATGGTGACAGATGATTACTAAAATTAGTGGGGTGATTACATTGTAAGGTATAAAAACGTCAAATCAATGTGTTGTACACCTGAAACTGATATAATTAATATAATATTGTATACCAACTATACTTAAATTGTTTTTAAAAAAGGAAAAAAACAAAAGCATATGGAAGATACTCCAGTGAGGCTTACCTGGAAGTTGGGGACAGAGTCAGCTAGCGGGTTTATGGAACACAGGAGGTTCACATAGCTGTTGTGAAGAGGTTAATAGAGAGCCCAGTGAAAAAGAGGGTTTCTTCAATCAGCTAGATTGCTGGAATTTCCAGAAATCTAATCGTCACGATTTAATACCATCTACAGCAACACTTGGCCACCGGGAAGGTTCTTTGCAATTGGAGATGCAGTCCTGCACTTGAGCCAAAGTTCAGCTCACCATATTGGATCCGCCACATACAGAGTCATAATAATGGGATAAACTCACACCTCATGGCCGAATCACCTCACAGTTTTAGAAAGGATCTAAAGATAGGTTCTAATCAAAGGAATCACAATTAATCCATGCTGCTTATTTTCCTTTAAGTGGAGCCAAGGAGCACTGTTTCATATCAACAGGTTTAAGGTCTTCCAGATGGGAGAGACCTAGTCCAACCTCTCACCTATTATGACTTTATCTTTAGACATCTATGGCAGAAGCTATCAGCACACACTGGCATCCACGTGCTCCTCTCCATTTCTCAGCTTCCTTTGCGGGACACCTGAGGCCACATGGCTGAGCACTCACCAATAGGACATTGGTGGACCTGCTGTAAGTCACTCCCGGGCCTGGCCCTACCATGGATGGAGGAGTACAAGCCAACCTGCATCATATTAGACTCCACCTGAGAATTAAATAATCTTCCATTATGTTACTCACTGACATTTGCGAATTTGTCCGTTTCAGAGGCATGCACTCATTGATTTTCAAGCCTTTTAAAAAAAATCTAGCAACCCAAAGATTTGCAAATCATGCTAAAGAAAAGGATAGAGATTATTATTGTCCAAAGGTCCAAAGGATTAAAAAAAAAAGAAGCAGTCATGAAGCTCTTATTTACAATATAGTAGCATCTCACTTATCTAAGGGTTATGATTTGAGACATAACTTATAAAGGCTAAAGCCTCCCCCTGAGAACCAAGAAATAAGCCATAGAGGTCTTAAAACAACCCAGACTGAGAGCAAAATAAAGCTTTAGAGCTTCACTCACTAGCTAGCCTCTCGGGCTCTATTTATTTGTTCAAGTTTTCCTGAGTAAACCAATCAGTCTTGGAAATCTGGTTTGTTATTTCACATCAGACAAGAAATAGGAACTTGAAATCAATAAGGAGTGGTGCTAGAGGGTGCAAATCACAACATCCGGAGAGTAGAGATCAGAACTTTAAAAAGCAACACGCCCAAAAAGCAGGGTAGAGAGACCCCACTTATAAAAGATGACTGAACCCCATTACTCCTCAGAGTCCTGAAGGCATCATCAGAAGAGCATGGCCCATAACTGATAAAAATGACTTGATGTCCTCAACTAGCCTTTGTAAGCTTCAAAAGAAGATAGGACAGTATGTAGGGAGCCTCTGGTTACTCAACGTTTATTCAAAAACAGTTGCAGTGTTTAAAGGCATACACCTGTTTGAAAACCTAACTTGCGAAGGCCACCTGATTCTCCTAGGGTGCCACGTAATGATGCTCAAAAATATAAGACACTGCCATTCTCCTACTGTTTGACTGAGAATGGGTGGTTCCTCCCAAAGCAATTTGGGTGCACATATTCAGCATGAAGGAAACCAGATTTCCATAAGCAAAAAATCAAGATACAAATAGTAAAACCTTGGATTGCGAGTGACTTGGTTTGCGAGTGTTCCACAAGACAGCAAACATTTCTAATACATTTGATCGTGGTAAACGAGCGATGTCTTGAAATACGAGTAGTTTGTTTCCGTAACAAATTATGTTCGCAAACCAAGGTATTCTACATCATGTGATGTAAAAAGGACCCTGGAGATCATTCCGTCCAAGCCCCCCCCCGACACCCCCCCCACCCCCCGCAGAAAGGTTAGGTGACCAGAGGGCTCCCATTCATCGCACTGTAGAGGAGGCATAATGTTCCCTGCTCTAGAACTGGGGTCTCGCCACCATATCACAATTCCCTTTCCCTGGACAGACGCACGACAGCTCCAGGCCTTCCTTTGACACGGGCCTGAAGCACTCACCTGCAGAAAGCAGTATCCGGAGGGGGCATGCTCTACAAGGGTGGTGTTGTACACCTGTCTCTGAAAGATGGGTTCGTTGTCATTCACGTCGTCCACCGTGATGCTCACCAGGCAGGTCGCGGACAGCGGGGGCTCTCCGAGGTCTTGGGCCATCACTCTCAGCTCCACCGCCTCCTGGACCTCTCGGTCCAGGCTCCTGGTGGTGCTGATCAGGCCGCTTTCAGGATCGATAGCGAAGGAAGGTCCGCACTCCGCCGTGGGCCGCAGAGCCTCTGGGCTGCAGCGTCCAGGGAAGTGGAGCAGCTTGTAGCGCAGCCGGGCGTGGCCGGTGCCAGCCTCGTCCGCATCGGAGGCGCTGACCCACAACACCGCGGTGCCAGGGGTCGCGGCCTCGGACACTGAGGCCTGGTAATGCTCCTGACTGAAGAGAGGCTGCTGGTCGTTGAGGTCGGCGATCCGGAGGAGCAGTGTCTCCTCGGTGCTCAGCGGTGGGGACCCCGCATCCACCGCCACCAGTCGCAAATCGTACAGGTCGCGGCTCTCCCTATCCAGGGGCCCCTCCACGCAAAGGAAAAATACTCCCGGGGAACCGCCTGGGATCAGCGCAAAGGCTCCCTCCGCGCCCTCCAAGGACAGCGAGATGGTCCCGCCTCCGAGACCCACACCAAGTTCCCGGGCTGCCTCCTCTTCTTTCTCCAGGTCACCGTCAGCGTCGGACACCGAGACTCGAGCCACGTAGTCGCCGGGTCGGGCGCCCTCCGAGACACGCGCGGCACCCCCTTCGGTAAGGAAGAGCAGGTGAATGGCGGGTCTGTTGTCATTCACGTCCAGCACGGCGATGGACACGCGCACTGTGGCCACCTCGGGCTCGGCACCGCCATCGCGGGCCTCAACTACCAGCTGGTGCCAGGCCTGCACCTCGCGGTCCAGTGGCCTCTGCACGCGCACCACTCCGCTGAGCTCCTCCACGGTGAAGTAGGCCGCGTCGCCCAGGGGCCCGCCACCGCTCTCCGCTCCCAGCGTCTGCCGGGTGCGGATGCTGTAGCGCACGTGACCGTTGGGCCCTAGGTCACGGTCGGTGGCGCGCACGCGACAGACCTCGGCGCCTGGACTGGCATCCTCGCGTACGGCCGCGCGGTACTCGCCCTGCTCAAAGACCGGCGGGTTGTCGTTCTCATCTAGCACGCGCAGCTCCACACGCAGGTGGCCTGTGCGCCTCGGGAGGCCGCCGTCCCATGCCTCGATCAGCAGCTCGTGTGCCGCCGCCTCCTCTCGATCCAATCGCCGCAGCAGCACCAGGTCTAGGGGCTCCAGGGGAGACGAGGACAGCAGCGACAGGGGTGACCCCGGGGTCCCGTAGCGCAACTGAAAGAAAGGTCCTGTGGGGCCCTCGGGAAGGTCGGACTGTTGCACCAGGGTGTAGCCCTGTGTGCTGAAGAGCCCGGCGTCGGGGTCGTGGGCACCGGGCAGGCGAAAGACGGTACCTGGAGGGCTGAGCTCGGAGACGTCGAGTTGCAGGGAATCGCGGGGAAAGCTGGGCGAGTGGTCGTTGACGTCGTTGACGTGGATCTCCACCTGCACCACGGCGCCCAGCAGCGTGGCGGCCACGAAGCTGTAGTGGTCCCGCAACTCGCGGTCCAGGCGCCGCGCGGTGCGGATGATGCCAGTGTCCGGATGCACGTGGAAGTCGTCCAGCAGCGGGGAGTCATCTGAATCCTCCGACAGAAAGAAGCCTCCCTCCTCCTGTTGCTGTGCGGCCGGCAGCCCGGCGCGGATGTCGCCGACTAGAGTGTCCGGAGGAAGTCCCTCGTCCACGGAAAGGCTGAGGTTGAACACCTGGGCAGATGAGCCCGAGGCTGCCCACAGCCACGCGTGCATGAAGAGCACGAGCAGGAAACGCCGCTCCCTGATGCCGCCGCCGCCCTGCCGCCCGTGGGTCGACCCTCTCCTCCCGGTTAGCAGGAGTCGCTGCCGGGAGGGAGCCCCTCGCTGCTGACGCCCTTTGCACATCCTCTGCGCAGAAGGGTTCATTGCTCCCTCAGCTCCTTGGGAAGGCTCCCGGGTAACTAACTGCCAGTATGGGGCTGGATGGCAGAGAAATCCAGGAGCCTCTTCAGTGTCTGAGCCAAAGAAGAAAAGACTTTGTTTGGCAAACAAACCCACAGACCCAGAGGTTCCCGAGATTACATCTGCAACTGGTGAAAAGGTCCTCCGCCTGCAGCTCACGCAGACGGGGACACTCTGGCTGCCTCTGACGCCGCGTCCACCTCTTCAGCCCCTGGATTTCTTTAAACGAATCTCATCTCTTTTTCTCTCTCCTTTTATTCCTTTTACATCTGTTCCTTGTTCTGCTCGGCTGGTAGTTCCCCCCTGGTAAAGTCAGGTGCATTATTTCTTTTGCCAAAAAGGATGAAATTATTCAAAGCGCGCACACACCAGGAGAGGATGGGGGTCTGGCCGGGGAAGGGGGTGGAGTAAGGGCGGGGAGGCTGAGAGTGAGGGCGCCAGGCCCGAACCAGGGAGGGAGGGAGGAAGGGAGGGAGGAGGGAGGGAGCTGCGGCTCTGGCTGCGGTGTTGTCCGCTGCCGGGGGGCAATCGCCCCCGCCGTGTCTCTGGGCTCGCAGGACAGCGCGACTCAAGCAGCCACCCAGCCCCCGCAGCCTCCCCTCCGGTCTCCTCCCAGCCGCGTGACGCGGCGCACGCGAAGGCAAGTTCCAACCAGCGAGTCGCCGCTCTGCAGCAGGGCGCGATCGTGGCTGGGCAGAGCCAGAGGAGAGGGGGGTAAAGAGAAAGGACCCAGAGATTTGGGCTATGAGGTGGGTGGGGGGTGCGAAGGCGGGGCGTCTGCCCAGGCTTTCCGTGCAAAGTGGCGATGGTGGGGGGAGGTGTGGAGAGGAGCCTCCGCACGCCCTCTTTCTCCATCCCCTTGACCGTCCCTTCAGCAGGCCAAACGCTTGGCTCAGGCTGAGCAGAGAGGGTGGGGGCTATAATCACATTGGGGAGCCAAACTTGTGTTCTTCATTTGGCGAGAGAGACTCGTCCCCGGCGGAAGGACAGATGGAGTCAAAAGCCGATGCACAGCTGGGGCCAAGATAACTGCAAAGGGGAGAAGGCGGAACTTGGAAAAACCTTCGAGAAACCCCGAGAAATCTGTGACACACATGGTGCAAACCGTGCTTTATTATGCTGTGTTACTACTCTGCGACACGTGAGCATCTTGTCATTCCCCTCTGCCAGCAGGAATAACGACAATAGATTCGGCTTGCGAACTCTTTTTATACATTCAGCGCCATCACGCACGACACTTCCAGGATGTTTTAAGGTGCTGATTTATGGGCAGAAAGACGGGTGGCTGAGACATGACCTCCTTCCTGCTCTCCACCATGGCCTCTGAGTTCGCAGGCGGAGCCACTACGGATACCACTTTCAAAGTTTGTGTATGAGCCCAAGAAAAATGCTAATAAATTGCCGTAGTCGCAGATTTCCCTTCAATTATCCATAATAGTTGGTAGAAATTGATAAATGGTCTCTAATAGAGAATGCCGGAGGAAGGACTCTGCCCTCTTAAAAATGGCTGGCCATATTTAGCATATGGTTTCTGCAATTTTGCATTTAGGCTGCAGGGAAAAATTAATTTTCTAGATACTGTACGTCTCCTTTAGAGGACAAGAAGCCCTACATCGTGGTCCCTTACAGCAACAGTAAGATGCCTTTTTAATATACAGTGGAATTATACACACCCACACCATCATGTCTACCTCTCACAAAATAATACAACAATTTATTTTATAGCAGATATGTTGCATGTAAGTGGAGACATTAAAATAAATTCAGCTTCCTTTCACCAATGAAGTCTCCTTACAATTATGTTATGTAATCTTTAGAGTCTTCTTTCACCTTAACCTCTGCAAGCTCACCCCAATTAGTTCTCCTCCAACCACTCTTGCCCCTTTATAATTCTCAACCATATCCAGATTGATGTTTTTAAAGCTTCCTCAGATCATGTCACCCTTTGCTCAAAACCTCCCAATGTGTTACACTTGGATTATAATTCAGGCTCCTTCCAATAGTTCAAGGCTCTACCTAATATGGCCCTGCCCACCTTCCTGACTTCATCTCATACCTGCACTCTGCATCCAGCTGTACTGCCTTCTTTCTCATCTTGGTACCTGTGATGGACTGAATGTTTGTGTCTCCCCCAGAATGCATGTTAGAATTTTACCACCCAGTATGGTGGTATTAGGGTATTGGGTCTTTTAGGAAGTGATTAGGATTTTTGAGGTCCTGGGATTAGTACCCTTATAAGGGTCATGAAAATTAACCAATTTCATCTAATAAATTTCATTTACAAAAACAGTCACATGAGGGGCAGCAAGAGTGGCTCAGTCGGTTAAGAGCGTGAGCTCTGAGCAACAGGGTCTCCGGTTCGATTCCCACATGGGCCAGTGAGCTGCACCTGAGCTGAGCTGCCGCTGAGCTGGCAGGATGGCTCAGCTGATGAGAACAAGTGCTCCTAACAACAAGGTTGCCAGTTCGACTCTTGCATGGGATGGGGGGCTGTACCCACTGGCAACTAAGACTGAACACGGCACCTTGGGCTGAGCAGCCTCGAGCTGCCGACAGGTGGCCAGATGGCGACTAGACCTGGAGCTGAGCTAGCTGTGCCTTACACAACTAAGACTGAAGGACGACAACTTGGCTTTTCCCCTTCCCCAATTCCCCAACACTGTTCCCTTTCCCCAATTCCCCAATAAAATCTTAAAAAAAAAAAAAAGTCACATGAGAGCTTGCTGCCCTCTGCTCTCCACCATGTGAGATACAAGAAGTCAGTAACCAGGAAGAGGCCCTCACCATAACTGGAGCTTGCCGGCACCCTGATCTTCAGTTTCTAGCCTCCATGACTACGAGAAATAAATATTGGTTTATAAGCCACCCAGTCTATGGTACTTTGTTACAGCAGCTTGAACGGACTAAGGTCATGTAAGTTTGAATTGTTAGAACTTTTCTGTGCTTGGGAGTTACTTCTGCTTTGCGACGATGTGGTTCTTTCTCACCCAGGTCTTAACTCAAATGACAGCTGTTTAGAGACCTTCCTTGACCGTCCTCACTCAAGCAGCTTCTCCCCCATAAAACCTGTACCTCATATTATATTTCACTCACAGCACCTACCAGTACCTGAAATTAGCTTGTTCTATTCATTTATTAGATTATTGTGATCTCAACCCTCTTTATGCATGTTAAGCACTTCCATCATTTGGAACAGCATGTAGCACTTAATGGGTCTCTATTCACTAAATACGTGTTGGATGACTGATGGATGGTTGGTTGAACTGATGGGTAGATTGAAGGATGCGTCTATGAAAGGAGGGGTTGGAAGCCATAACAAAATTAACTGGCCATGAGATTCTTCACTGTGATGAATTCTATCTTCACAATTTACTCATTGTAACCATTCTCTGGGGCTTCGTGAACTGATTTTTGAATTTCTTCAACTTATTTTACAAACTGTGTTGTTATCAATTACCAGGGATGCCCAAAAAAATATACACATTTTAAGAGATGCTAACTATGTATTACTTCTTGACGTTGAACTGAATTATGGTAGCAATGGGTAGTATGATGTTCACTCAAAAGATGGCATTAATCAAATGAATGTCATTTGAACATCATTCATTGTATTACAATTTTAATACAGTTTTTTCCTTTCTTAAAATGTATATACATTTTTTGGCACCCTCTGTATTTACTTGAGTCTAAAAATAAAGGAAAAGCAGCTAGTTTTTCTGAATCTTTCACTGACACATTCTTTGTAAAAAGTGGTTTAGTTTAGAAACAAATGGAGAATCAGGAACTTCAAACACCTAGTTTCCCATTCATTTTCAGGCTTTATGTGTAAAGCATGTGAATTCAAGGTTTCCTGCCCATTTCACAATACCCGTCAGTGACTGACTGAGCGCCATTCTAAAATTGAGAATTCAATTTAGTTGTGTAAAAGAAAAAAAGAGCATTTCTCAAATATGCAAAAAATAATTTTGGATGGCACAGGAGCCAACAGCCTACAAGAAATGGGTTAAGATCTCACCCTCTTGAGAGAGAAGCATCATGGTGTAACTGGCAAGAATTTGGGCTTTGAAGTAGGAAACCCTGGTTCTGCTCTATAATTTGGTGCAAGTTACTTCAACCTTGTTAAGCCTCAGTTCTTCTCTCTAAATTGGGGTTTATAATATCTAATTTACAGGGGGTATTATGAGCCTTAAAGAAGACAGTGTATGTGAATTAACACATAGAAGGCATTCAGTAAATATTAATTCTCTTGCCCTCTGATTGTATGATGAGATATTTTGGGGGTTAAGCATTTTGGGATTCTCAGCAATATCAAACTCTGACTTCCTAGCACTCCCAGAATGTGTGGAGAGGGAAGATGTAACATTCCCAGTGTCACAAACAGACACCACCATGGGCAAAAAGGCCCAGAGTGGATGTTCACCAGGTGTGACACGGCGTAAGTAGTACAGGAAGTCCATCGTCAAAAATGTTTTCTCCCAGACTGTAGATAGTCTTTTGTTCTGTAATAGTTAAGTAGTCTAAAGAGTTACTGAGTTCTCAAAGCACTGTTCAAAGCATCTCACATCAACCTTTTAGAAAAGTAATTATAATTATTACCCCATTCTACAGATGAAGAAACTGAGGTTCAGGGACATTGTAAGTAACTGGACAAAAGTCACATAGGTGTTAAGTGGTGGAATGGGAATCTGAACCCACACAGTTTGCTCCAGTGTCCATGATCTTCTGATCTCGTCACTGTTCATTTATCGTCTCTGTGATTATCTGCCTCAAGCAGATTGTTGGATTCTGAGTTCTCATTCAAATCAGTACAGTGAGATAGGAAGAGTTTTGGAAAGACCTGGGAGAACTACAGAAAAAAAGAACTTGGGACAGCATGTACGTGTGAATAGATGACACAGGAGAATAGCCACAAGGAACTAATCCCCCGTAAATACCAATGGACAAGTGTAGCTAAGTTTTTGGGGAATCAAAAATTATACGCAGATTTTTGACTGGGCAGGAGTCGGCACCCTTAACCCGTGTGTTGTTCAAGGGTCAACTGTAATTATTTCCTCTGATTCTTTGGGAAGCTGGAGAAAACCTTTACACCAACACTTTATCATATAGTTGGGGAGAAGTGTAACAGCTCATCATTAAGTAGATTTAGACGTCCTATATCGAATCATACTTTTCACATCTAGTAGAAGCTGAAATCTAAGAGTCACATGTACTAAAGTCCTCTCTTCATTAGAAGATGACAGTATAAGCAGGTCTGAGACAGAAGCCCTAGCAAAAGGAATTCCTGCTGATTTCTCCCAAGTCCCCTTCTCTTTCCTAAATTGCTTATTCTCCTTCCCAGTAATTGGTAAGGCAGACCAACTTGCCCC